CCAAAAATCTAGAAAAATATTATAAATACAAAATAAAAAAATTTTCCGGATCGTACCACTATATCCTATAGCTTCCATAGAAACGATTGCATCAGTGATGTGCTATCGCTATGAAACTTTCACCAAAAATCTAGAAAAATATTATACATATAAAATAAAAAAATTTACCGGATCGTACCACTATATCCTATAGCTACCATAGAAACGAGTGCATCACTGGTGGCGCTTTCATGAGAGAGCAGTCATAAAATCACTTCTAATGGTCACATCAGGCTAATATTTCTACTGAAAGTTATTTATAAGCATATCGAATATACGCATGAAGCGGTGACAGTCCAAACTCAAAACGATCCTCATGAACTTCTTTTTTTAAACAAACTTCTAGGTTATTCATTTCTGTTGGCTTGGCATTACATATGTAGCATTTTGTGGATGTTGATTCACTTAATGCATTACAAACTTTACCATCAACCATGGTAAGTTGCAAAGAATGATCGATATTAATTTTTCGATTTTGTATTTCAACTTTGCTACTTTTAAGTTTATCAATCTTGTATTCGAAATACGCTTCTTCATCTAGGCAAAGCTGAGTCGTCTCCTTTTTAAATTGAAACCGGATTGGTCTGCAATATCGAGTCGATGATGGCCTTGGATTCTTCCAAATAATCTTGGAATGGTCCGACTTTGTAACCATTCTAAGGGGCACATATGATGTAACAAACATACTGCTGTCTGCTAAGTCGCTATCCATCATCGTCTGTTTATATTCAGCATGACCAGTACTACCATCGAATCCCCATTTTCCCAATAAAATCAGATGGTCATCATTGACATTGTAGATTACCTCTTTTTGAAGTTGCAATATGCGTTCAGCAGTGTGATTCAATAAACTTTGAAGTTCAACTTCTGCTTGAGAATCGCTGACAGTAATATTATTCGGATAGCTTTTTTTTTTAGCACATAAAACTTGATCATAGCTGGGCAACAATGGAAATGATATTTTTGAGTTAATAAATGTACGTAGCACTAAATATTGGTGTTTCGTCAACTGACATTCCATAAAAACAGCTAAAACTTCTTCAATATTTATTTCGGAAATTGATTTACTCCCTTGGAAGTCAGATGTCCGTAAAAGAGATGCAGCAGACTCATCTCGAACCGCAAGCTTTGCTATGCGTCGGCGTTTCGTCCTATTTGAAATCTCAGTGAAATCCTTCTTTGGACGTCCACGATGAAAATTAGAAACTTTTGGTGGCGAACAGCATTTTAAAATAATAATTTCTTTGCACTCAAGCCAATCAGAATATTTTTTCAAAAATATTGCTTCTTTCCGCTTGACGATTTGCCAAAATGATGCAAGCTTCTTACAAACATAGTTTATTTGTTTTTGCAATTCTTCCAAATCCGGTTCATATCCCTTATTTTTTATCTCCTTAATTAAGGCATCCAACACATTTCTAGCTCTTTGGGCATGTGTACCGCATTCTTTAAGCCAAATATTAAATATATCCTTCCGCGAATACTCGCATTGACTATGGGTACCTTGGAAAAGAATTAAATAATTAAACGAAAAAATAATCTTGAAACATGAAACACAAAGCGAAAAACGAAAGTACAAGAAACTAAAAGGACAACAACAACATAACAGACACAGAACAAAAACATGCTTTCCTCCTAGATAGAGCTACTGGAAAACGAGGTTAGGTTGCATTTTGTTATGGCAAAAGTGCATCTGCAGGCTTCCGCAGCTGAAGTAAACATATTTATAATCTTGAAATATTAGTAAATAACGGCACATACATTTCATTGGGGGGCAAAGGGGGGAAAATACTTAAAACTTTACATAAACATTGGTAACGCACAACATATATGAACAAAAAAGTCGCACTTTTTTAACAAAGATTTACACGAAACACAGGACAAATTATTTATATATTTATCTTTAAAAATAAAGTTTATACCATTATATACAATATCCATTACAATCGTTTTTGGTTTAACAGCGTTTTATAATTTATTTAAATTTTTGAAATTTGCGTATGCACTCCACTGCAGTTGCTTTCAGCTTATTGCTTGGTTTGCGCGCTCACTTTGCGCGCCAATTACTCCGCGAAGGTGTGGAGCAAAACAAAACTAATAATTGTTTTTTAAGCCTTGTTCTATTGATAAACAGATGCGCCAAATTTGAAATCAAAATTCCAAAGTTGATTTTTTTGATTTTTGGCCTATGGGACCGACCACTGTGCAATGGTTGCATTCATGCTTTGGAACTTGCAACAAATTCCATGTATTGCTGAATAGGTGGCTTTCTTATGTAATGTTCTTCATCTTAGCTATACATGTACCAAGGGCCGGCTTTCGTCGGGGCATTCACGGTCATTATCGCCATGACGGTACTTTCTGTGTTGTAATAACTAGAGCTCGGATAGTTATTCACGAAAAAAGGCCAAAATATGCATGCACATATGCACAAAAAATAGCAAAATATGCACAAGAATATGCATTCAAATATACAATAAAATATGAAAGAATCATGCAGAAAATAGGCTGTTCTTTATTTAAAAGCTAAAGTTTTGCACAAATTTACATTGAACTTCGACAAATTTGGTGTGGTTTTGGTTCAAGATCCGATTTTATCGATTGGCTTCCCTGAACGGCATTTTCCTTCCTTCTATCATTGTCAGCTTTGTGTTTTAATGATGCAATATGCTGATATACTTAGAATATTTTTTCCTTCAACTGCACATTCACAATACGTACAAAATAAAAGTAACCTATCAGACCGAAATACTTTGGGAAATTCGACTTTCATACGCAATTTGATTTGAAGTTGATTTGAAACAACCGATAACTTTGAATGCCACGAGACAAATGATAACACTGTGCGACAAAAAAATGTTTGAGTTGATTTTTTCTTATTTTTCACTTCTACTAGTCAAAATAAGAATACAAGTTTTTGGATTTGTTAATATCAATAGCCAATCAGCTTCTTCGCACACTCAAAGGTCCCAAAAACGCGTGTTTTTGCATATTTCACAGCCTTATAATACCATATTGGGAAAATATTTTTTCACCGTTATAAGCGTTAATGCAAGTTCAATATCTATTAATTAAAATGTATTAAGCAAATATACCGTTAGGCTTTTATAACAATGCTTTAAAATTTTTTTCTCCCAGCTCTATACTTTGGGCGACTTTGTATGGAACTTGTTACGCGAGGATACCTCTGAAAAAGCCAAAAAAATCAGAAAAAAATTTCACTTTTAAAAAAAATAATAGTTTATTGGAAGTAAAAAAAAAAATAATATTTTGTGTTAAATATTTTCATAATAATAATTTCATAAAATTTATCATAAAAAAAGAAATCCTATCACTTAGAAGGTGGCATAAATATTTTTGTGCATAACTTATGCCCCTTAACCGAAAACAATCAAAAAAGTAACTCAAACAAACATTTCGTTAAATTTTGTCGCACAGTGTAATTTAAGAATATAATAAAGCGTTTATTATGATTAGTCATTGAGAATCCATTAGTAAGTTATCAATGTACCTAGTGTTAATCTTTTGATTTGAAAATAAACAACGTAAAAGTCAATTTACTTTCAATTTCAGAATGATTTTCATAAGTCACAGCTAAATTATTATCAGTTTTGATGAATGAAATATTAAAATATGCTCAAACATGCACTTTCGATCAAAATATGCTCTAAGGAATGGAATATGCACAATATGCATGCAACATGCATTTGCATGACTATCCGAGCTCTAGTAATAACCCATAATCCAAGTCCTATCCTTCAACCGAGTAAAAGTAAAAGGACAATCAGCCCACCACCATGCCGCCCAATTCCAGCGGAATGGATATTCCGTTGGGTCAGGCGTCTGACTCGTACAACACACTTCTTTCCGCAAATAGACTTGGCCTGGGGCTCTAGATTAGGCATATTTTCATATAAATATTTACAACAATTTTCATATAAGGTTCTTTGGTTTATGTTAAATAAATTTGAACATATTCGGTCTGAACACGGTGAGAACTTTACTTATAATAAAATTGGGAACCACTTCTCGAAAACTTATATATACTACACCGATTGCTGAATAGGTGACTTTCTTTCGTAATGTTCTTCATCTCAGCTATATATTACCAGCAGAATGGATATTCCGTTGGGTCAGGCGTCGGACTCGCACAACACATAGACTTGGCCTGAAGCTCTTGATCAGGCAAATTTTCATATCAATATTTATATCAATTTTCATATACATTTTTTTTTCAGTCTACAGACAACTCAGGTAGTGATTTTTTGTTCCCTCGTTTCACATTCTTTTTCAATTCGCAATCATTTTTCTCTCTGTAAACTCAGTTATTGGGATTTCAACGATTCACTATTTCCTTAACGGCGGATGACTTTCCGTAAATTATTCGTGAAAAAAATTGCCGTTGCACCGCCAAAAATCACCCAAGAAAAAACTTATGAGCATTGACATTTTTGTTTAAAAGTATTCTTTTTTACACTCATGGACATACATACCTACTGCGTTTTCATGTATCAGCGGAAAAAATTAAATTATTTACATCACATTAAAAACCTCAAAAATAATAAATGTGTTAATATACACATTATTCTTCCTCTTGAATCATCAATCTAAGCGCACATAGGGACAGAAAAACCGATAAATAAAAAAGTGGGCTAAGCAATAATAAAAAAATGTAACTGCATTTTAGAACCGCAATAGAATAGAGATTATAACTTTAAACAATTTTAGCTTTCAATGAATTTTGTCTTCCCTACGAGCGATCAACCATAAAATTTGCCAGGAGTCCTCTCCAAATGAAACGAACTGTATTTCGGAGCACATATGTATGTGTAACAATTTATTAGGACCTTCCTTTTCCACGTTTCGACAAGGTAAATGGTTTCCCACCTCTAGTTCGAAACCTCGATAACAGAAGAATCGGCCCAAGTCTGAAAAAGTTATGGAAAAATGCTACTGAAGGATAACTTTAGGGAAAACTGTTATCGATAAAAATATAAAATTTAATTTTCAATTGAAGGAGAAAAGTCGGAAAAATGTCTGCGGAGCCTGCCAAAACTTTAGAGGAGCCTTTGGCCAAACAATTTGGAGATGGCTTCAATGGGAACCTAAAGAACGATGTCGAAAATGAAAAAGTGAAAAAAATGAAGGAGATCCAAACGGCGGAGGCCTCCAGTACCGAGGAGGACACCAGGACGAAGAAGCGTTCGCAGATTAGGCGTCGGGAGTTGGACAGCCAGCGGGCTGGGGACAAAAGAGCTGATGCGTTGGGTCGCCTAAAGGCTACGCGGGATCACAAACAGAACAAGGAGAAGGACTTCGAGAAAAGTGCAGAGCAGGCAGCGGATTGCGAGGTTCAAAAGCAGAGTAACAATCCATCCGATGTGTTCTCGACTAGCAGTGACAGTGAGTGTGAACCGCAGGACGGACCACAGGAGGACGAGGAATTAGTAGCAACTTTGCAGCAGTTGAGACCTGCGGTCCTCACCAGAGGCCAAATGGAGAGCTTTCTGGACAAGCCCATCTTCGAAGAGACTGTAGTGGGTGCCTATGTGCGAATACATTATGAAAAAGACTATGATATCTTCCGGATTATAGCCCTAAACACGGGCTCTACCTTCTACCAACTGGGCAGCAAGCGGACTAATTGGCTATTGGTTATAAAGCAGAGCGACCTGCGTCTTGAAATCTGCATTAACGTGGTTTCCAACCGTCCAGTTACCCAAATGGACTTTGATTTCTGGGTGAAGCGTGGTTTTCTCGAACTGCCAACAATTTCCGAAATCGCCAAAAAGAAAAAAGAAATCGAAAAGGCCTTAGAATACTGCTTCTCTGAAGCAGATGTGGAAAAGCTGGTGCAAGCCAAGAATTCTCTCGGAAAAGCTCAGAGGCCCGCAATCAAAAAACTAAAACTCATGACAGAAAGAGAGAAGGCAGCGGGTTTAAACGATTTGGCGAAGGTTAAGGAACTGGAGAAGCAGATCCAGGAGATCGACGAGCAGCCCAGCAAAAGGGTTCAAAATAACCGGGAGCATCTGGTGCAGGTCCTTGGTGCACAGCACGTGGCCCACGTGCCCACAATTTACCGGCAAGACAAGCGATCTCTGGTGGACCGTGTTCCCAAGACCGAGGAATCCGGCCTGGAGCAGTATATGCGGCGTACATACAACAAGAGTGCGGTCGTAAGTCGCAGTCGAGTGGAAGTCGAAGCAGAAAGTTTGGAGGAGGCAACCCCTATATCTGATCCCCCAAATGATTCCAACGAAAAAGACGTACAGGAAGAGGCTCCAGATCTGGATTTGTTTCAGCTGCACAACTTCAAAGTGGTCGTAGACACCTCGGGATTAGGTGAGTGATTTTAAGTGCATTGAATACATATCTAAAATAAAAATATTTTTGTTTAGTTCCCTTCGGCAAAATCTTTCCGAATATTTAGCTAATCAGCGCCTCGAAAAGACTACTGAAATAAATTCTGCAGGTTTATAAATTATTTGTTACAAATGAATTATTCTAATATTTGTTATATATAATAAATATTGATTAACTTGCAATAAAAAAACATCCTGTCACTTAGTACTTTCACCTTTATTTAATAAAGTACTTTTAACTACATTTGGGGGTCCAAGTAAACTCCCAATTGTTTTTCCAGGGAAAATTCGATAGTGATAGCGTTAACCGCTCCACAAGATCGAAAACAGACTAAATGCTGTATTTACCCATGCCTCTCGTTCAAACAGGATATCCACGTCCTGCTCACAGGCCCACCTGATGGAGATGAGGTGGCAGTAGACAACTCTGGGGCATCTGCTATTTTACCAGACTCTAATCAACCTCAGTGAGCACGGAACACGTCAACAATTGGCGCTCCGCCAAAAGCTTGTCGTAATCCAATCAAAATTCGAATGCGGTTGTTTTTAAAAGTAGTGGGGGATTGAGTCTTTCTCGTTTGGTGTGATTCTCATTTTCAGAAATTATACCCATTTCACATTCAGGGATGTTACCGAAATCTTTTTTAGCAAAATTGAAAAATCTAAGATTATATTATTAAATTGAATATAAAAGGTTGGTTTTGACTTAAAAAGAAATATGGCCGCCGAATTCTCAGATTACTAAACACTCTTTTCAAATTGCACTTTTTTTCGGAAAAGGTTTTTTTAATCTTTGGCATTCATTGTGGCTTGATAAATTTTAGTTTTTGTTTATTTTTGTGACTCTGAAATTAAGGGAGAATCATTGTTTTTTTTTTTTAAATCATTAAAAATTGTGCAATGTAAATATGTGAATACACTTATTTTTTTTTTTATGTTGCACTTTATGATACGTTTGGCAAATACATGTCTTTAAATAGCACTTTGTTGGTCTATATTTACGTTTTTACACATCGCTTGCCCGAAATCCGAAGTCCAACTCTGCACTTGGAGCAATGAGTGGTCAACTGAGTAGTTTGGAGCGGCTCAATCATTAATAATACAAACAGAAACTCATTCGTAGTCCGGGCGTCAAGTGGAATTGGAATCATCTGCGGGTCTGGGTCATAATTGAAGATGTGCCCACAGCCACAAAGGTGACAAAGGGCGCTCGACTGGCAATAAAATAAATGCCATTTACTGATGAGTCATCAACATAATTTTTACGATTTGCCCTATTCGATGAATAAACAAATAAACCAACTGGAACTGGCTCGGGAAACGAATCCCGAATTCGAAGACTAGTTTGAGCGTGTCACGCAAACATTTCGCATGCATTGACTTTTTATGGCAGCCAACGAGGCAACGAGCCAAGGAACCAAGGAGCCAACGGTCGAGAACGGAGCGTGGCAGCCACAAGGACTGGAATCGACAAATAATGCAAAATCATTTAGTGGAACTCCTGGACCCAACACTTCGACAGTCCCTCCGTTCCTCGCTGCCTCGCTGCCTCGCGGCTCCCCGCCGGAGTCATAAAATCCCGCACCGAATGAAATTCTCATCAAGTCGCAAGTTGGCACAATTTCACTTTGCCGCTAAGCAACTCGGTGCGGACCAAAATGAGCCGGGGCCAAGGAAAGGTCCTGCATGCTGGCCATCGGTGTTGCCGCGTTTTTCAAAAAAAAACATGACGTTTATTTTAAAAAGGTACTCTTTTCAACCTATTTTCGATAGTTTTTATTCAGTAGACTTGTTCCTTTATTGTCTAATACACAATAAGGCAATGAATTTTTAATTTTAATTTATTAAAAATCAATTTAATAGTTTTAAATTTCTTGCATATAAATAGTTTGTTACTGAATTAAATCTTTTCTAGTTTGTTTGACCTAAAGGCTAATTGTTGGTGATTTTTAATAAATCTATAATTAAAATCTATAATTAATTAAAATCTATAATTAATTAAAATCTATAATCAAACAAACCATACAAGATCAACACCATATTTTCTCTGCATTGTTGAAAAATACTCGATAGATATTTTATTTTGAAAATAATAAATAATAAGCCGTCCAAATCTTTTGGTAAAAATTAGAAAAAAAAAACAAAAAGAAATTAAAACAAAGAACATACTTTTAAGAAATAACTTTCTTTAATTAAGAGGACTACCGCTAAAATACTCCAATAACAGAGTACAAAGAAGCCAAAACCCTGCTGGCCAAATCTAGCTGATCCGGCATCACTGTTGGTCAGTGGGGGCAGTCCTGCGAGCCACCCACCACCACCACCCCCATCGGTGGCTCGGCAATCGCGCGTGACTAACGTAATCAGCTCACGTAACCTCCGAACGAGATGAGATGAAATCAGCATACTCTCTGGGCTGCGACTGCATAAATGTCGAATTTATACGAAAATGAAGAGGCTCGGGCCTTCGGACCAGCTGTGGGGCATCATTCACGGCCATGTCCTGGCCTCGTCCTGCCATCGTCCTGGCCATCGGAGCTGTTTTGTAGATCTTTGACACGCGATAGAAGCCCCGTTTGTCGGCAACGCAATGTTTTCATTGGTTAATTTGCAAGCGAATGTTGGGCTAAATCTGTTTTCCATAAATCGAACAATGGGCACATTTTCCTGAACAGGGAAATCTAAATTTTGGGAGGATTACTTAACTAGGGTATCGAAAATTGAGATCTTTCACGAAATCTAACAATACTTTTGTTCTGTATAAAGCTTTACTTGAGTTCTTTTTGAGATCCTTAATTAAATAGAAAGTAGCAGTTGTTTTAAACAAATTAATAATTGTGCTTTAATACATTATGGATTAGCAATATCTCTTTAACGACAGGAAATTGGGCATCTGGGGTTAAAGGTTCCCAACTAAGTATTATCCGTTGTATTAATAATATTTTTATTGACCCTTTTATTAGTTTGGTATTTAATTTCAGGAGTTACAAATATTTTTATTTGTTTTATTGTTAGCCTTTTATGAATAGTACCTTTCCTAAAGAGTAATCAAGAAATTCTGTAAAAGCCTAACAATTTAGAATAAAACAAATTTGTTTTAAAAAATAACAACATGCAAAATGTTATTAAGTTTTTAGAGAAGTTCTTACAAATTCAGAATGGGTTTTAAGAACGAATTAACAAAAGGCAAAACTTGGTTTTTAGGTAAATTTTAGCTCTGTTACTAAGAAAAAGAACTTAACTTATTTATAGGTACGAAATTATTTGAAAATTAATTCCTTCGTAAAATACCAATGCCATTGACCTTGTCCAGCAGATGTCTCCAAGGCAAAGGAATTATGCTTATCTTTCGCATTATCTGAAATTACAAGACCGCACAATAAGTAGATACAAATATGGCAACTACATTAGAGCCGCCATTAAAGTCGACCCGCTGTCTTAGGCCATAGGGTCATTCGGCGGATTCCATTTAAATGTAAAACCCATCATTAGTAATGCGAGCAAGTGACCCCGGGCATAAAAACGCAGAGAAGGGCTAACAAAAATCCAATGAGACCAGGCCCAAACATCACGCATAAGTTTCATTTTATTTTGATTTTTACGACTGCACCTCGCTCTGTGACAGTCTGCAGCAGTCCCACCTGGCTCACTTGCTAAATAACCATCGGACGAGCCACAAAAACCATGGGCGGAGAACTCGAGGGGGCGGGGGAAATAGTCGAACCAAAGGGGGTTGTGGGTCATGATGTGTCCATGGGAACTAAAGCAGGGAAAATGCCTATTTACGAGCTCGCATGCTGCCGGACACATGGTAATCATATATTTTGGTCATATCTGTGGACCATAAAACCAGTGTCCTTATGTGCCTGTCAATGAGTTGTTTCATGACATTTATTTCGCCTGTTCCATCCCTGTTTCTTTCGGGCTCTCGGCTTTTCCGAGCCCTGCGTGCAGATGGAAAATATTTTAGTGTCCATTTAATGTCCAATCTAAGATGAGCTCGTAACTTTTGATCGAATAAACGAGCTGGCACCCCGAATCACCCCACTCCCCGCCCATTTTGGGTCGTAGTTTCTTTTGGGGGAGTGGCGGGCAGGAAGGGTTCCGTTTTCGAATTGGACACGCAACCTGAGTCTGCGGCCCGGAGTCTCTGGGGATAAGTCTCTAATTTTCCTGCCGCCGCCCGGCCCATCTGACTGATAAGCAGAAGTTATTTGCCAGGTATTTGCTTATTTTATTAGAGGATATCCACTCGCCTCGCAAAGCCCTGATTGCCGAAGTCCTCCCGCCGAGTCATAAATATTTAATTAAAATCAAAATTAGTTTTTCAACAGCCGAGAACAACTTGTGGCCGCCCCGCGATTCCGTCAAGCCGACGCGTCGGAAAATGTCAAGAGTGAATGCAAAGCAGGCGCAAAGCACCTGGCTTCTTAAAAATTAAAATCGCACATGCTCCCACTCCCAAAAAATAAAACAAGGCGGGCAGCATCCCCAGCTATTTCCGCAGCTTTTGCGGTTTTCAGCGGCGATTTAAGCGCCGGGCTCACGCAATCCACACCGCTTGCATAACTTTCGACCTCCCCGAACGCCGAACCCGTAAAGTAGATTTGCATGCGACGCCCAGGAGACCCGGAGGTAAACTGGTTTTCCCCGACTCGGGGAATCCGGCTCGTCGGATTGCGACCAATTGAATCGGGCGGAAACCACTTGCGAAAATCCGCTGATGTGACGACAGGATCGGCAGCCTGGGGAAAAGCTCACGCGGGGCTGCACTCCAAAGCATTTCCATTTTTATGAACTCTGGGGGTACGATTACCAACGATTGCGATTCCCAGTATCAGGTAGACTTCCCGGCAACTTATAACCGGATCAATTTACCTGTATTTATTTTTACCCACCAAACTAACTAGTAAAAAAATTCATATAACTGGTTAATTAAATAATTAGTAATAAAGTAAAACAAATGATTTGTCAAAAACCCACCACGACGAGAAATACCTTCTGTCAAAAAAGTACCGGGACTGGATTAATTAAAACGCCTGTGCTAAACCGATTTCGGAAATTTTTTTTTTGTTATGTTGGTAACACTGTTCTGCATTACTAAGTAAAGTTTGATCGCGATCTCTGAAGTAGTTTGTTTACAGTCGCTGGTTACGTCAGTCTATGTTCTGATTGCTTGCCGAATTTTATAATGAACAACTACATACAGTGGCTCGCAGCTTATTTCAACCAGCACCTCAAAAAAACTTTAAAACCATATATCTAGCAAACCAGGAGAGCTAATATAAAAATTTAAATGGGGATTTGTAGTGTGAGCCTTTAACTTAACATTTCTGTTAACACTTTTTTTTAGCATTTTTTAAATATTTAATAAAAATTTTTAAACAGAAATACTGCTTAAAATACTGCAGCAGCTTATTTCAACCAGCTAGGAAAATATATTTTTTAACTGACTTAAATGAAAAAACAAGAAAAATTATCACTTGTTTTGGCCACCATTGTTGTCAATGAACATTTTAAGCCGTTTTGACATCGATTCCACCAGCTTTTTCTCCCCAATAGGACTATTTTTCCTCACTCTGTCACCATAGCGTTTTTTAGAGCAGATTTGTTAGAAAACTGGCTTTTTTGATATTTTGGTAGGGAATTGCCCAGAAATTGTTCATTACGTTTATGTCTAGTGCCTAGGCGGGGGGTTCCATCACATGTAGGCAATTCCAAATCAGCCAAGACTGAACAATATCCGATTTGTGGTTTGGGTCATTGTCTTGGTAGAATCGAAAACCCTCCCGATTTCCAATTTCTACTGCATTTTTGAGAAAATTGGCTTTCAAAATTTCAAGATAGTGAACCTTGTCCATCGTAGACTTTATAAAGTGCACTCTTCCGACGCCAGCTGCCGACATACAGGCCCATACCATGACACTACCGCAGCCATGCTTAACTGTAGTATTTAGATTCTTGCTTTGGAGCTCTGTATTTGACTTACGCTAAACATGTCGGGCTTCATCAGACCCGGAAATAATAAGTTTGGACTCGTCTTCAAAATTAGGGTGTTCCAAAAAGCTAAATTCTTGCACAAGTGTGTCGTTGGCAAATTTTAGGCGAAGAATCTAAATACTGCAGCTAAGCATGGCTGCGATAGTGTCATGGTATGGGCCTGTATGTCGGCAGCTGGCGTCGGAAGAGTGCACTTTATAAAGTCTACGATGGACAAGGTTCACTATCTTGAAATTTTGAAAGCCAATTTTGTTCAAAATGCGGTAGAACTTGGAAATCGGGAGGATTTTCGATTCTACCAAGACAATGACCCAAACCACAAATCGGATATTGTTCAGTCTTGGCTGATTTGGAATTGCCTACATGTGATGGAACCCCCCGCCTAGGCACTAGACATAAACGTAATGAACAATTTCTGGGCAATTCCCTACCAAAATATCAAAAAAAGCCAGTTTTCTAACAAATCTGCTCTAAAAAACGCTATGGTGACAGAGTGAGGAAAAATAGTCCTATTGGGGAGAAAAAGCTGGTGGAATCGATGTCAAAACGGCTTAAAATGTTCATTGACAACAATGGTGGCCAAAACAAGTGATAATTTTTCTTGTTTTTTCATTTAAGTCAGTTAAAAAATATATTTTCCTAGCTGGTTGAAATAAGCTGCTGCAGTATTTTAAGCAGTATTTCTGTTTAAAAATTTTTATTAAATATTTAAAAAATGCTAAAAAAAAGTGTTAACAGAAATGTTAAGTTAAAGGCTCACACTACAAATCCCCATTTAAATTTTTATATTAGCTCTCATGGTTTGCTAGATATATGGCTTTAAAGTTTTTTTGAGGTGCTGGTTGAAATAAGCTGCGAGCCACTGTATATTGAACAAAGAATTTGTCTTAAATTTTGTGTTGCGAACAAAATTTCTTGTACTGACGCGTTAAAAATGTTGCAGAAGGCTTATGGTGATGCAGTTTTATCGAGAACACGTGCTTTTGAGTGGTACAAAGCATTCCAAGAGGGGCGTGAGATTGTCGAAGACATGCCTCGTTCGGGACGACCATCCACCTCTCTCACCGACACTAACATCGATGCAGTGAAGGAATTTATTTTTGAAAATCATCATGTCAGCTTACGAGAGATAGCACAAGTCCTGAACATCTCTCACGAGTCAATTCGTACCATTTTGACTGACCGTTTGGGTATGAAACGAGTCGCTGCACGGCTTGTTCCAAAAGAGCTGAATTTCCTGCTACCATTGTCAACGAATACAAGGTCAAAAACTCGATAAATACCATCGAACAAGCTCCGTATTCGCCAGATTTAGCTCCGTGCGACTTCTTTTTGTTTCCTCGACTCAAGTTGCCGCTTCGTGGAACCCGTTTTAGCACCATTGAAGACATTAAACAAAATTCGGCACGGGAGTTGAAGGCTATCCCGGAAAACGCTTATAAAAAATGTTTCGAAGACTGGAAGAATCGCTGGCATATGTGTATTGCCTCTAATGGGGACTACTTTGAAGGCGACAAAATAAATTTGGATGAATAAATAGAAAATGTGAGTGTTATTAACCCAGTCCCGGTACTTTTTTGACAGAAGGTATAAGCACATACAGAAAATGAGGAGTTATACATATATGTATAAAAAAATAATAACCCATAATAAAACCCAGAATAAAACCCATAATTCACACACAATTCAGGCGGGGATATATCATATCTAACTAGTTAAAAGGAACCTCAAAAAAGTAAAGATTAAACACTTCATTAAAAATTTCTAATTAAAATTGGATAATTGTTTTGAACTTTAAAAACTTCGTTTTAGAATAGAAATACTTACTTTTTAAGATTCAGCGTAATTTAGGTGTTCATGTGAAATGATATCGTTCTAATATAAATTGATAAGGATAACCTTAAAAAAATATATTTTAATATTTATATTATTATCATTTTTTGAATAAAGTTACGTTTGCTGTGTTTTGTACGAATTTTATTTTTCTTATGTAGGATTGAATTAAAAAATATTTTAAACCTATAAGAGTTTAATGTTTGTAAATATGTATTTATACATTATAACTTGTTCATGGCAATGCCCTCTTCCGTTTTCCTTCTTGAAAAACCGCAGCAGTGGTTCAGAGTTTACCGCCCGTAATATTTGCCGAGCGTAATCCTTTCTATTAGAGTTTACGGAGTTGGTTTGTCATTTCCACAAAATTGACTTTGTCTCGCTTTCCACTCCATTCGAACTGCGAAGTCCATTCCGTTCCATTCCCGCACTCTATCAGACCGAACCGATTCGAAAAAGTGATTAAATTTAACTGGGCAACGAGTTAAACTCGGAAATCAGGAATTATATGCAGTGCGAAGGACAATTGCCAGTGGAGGACATAAAACAAAACAGTGACAAAGAAGCGGGGAGTGCAGGCGACCGGAGAAGGCGGTCCCGGCGACAGGATGCAAAAGGAATGGATGCGAAGGGATGGAACTGGAACTGGAACTGGGTGTGAAAGTGGAGTCCTGCAAGGACATGCGGCTGCTGACTGCGACTACTCAAAATCTGTGCGTCTGCACGCATTACAAACGAATTACGAGACTCGTTGGGCAATTGCAGTTCATTGTTATTTAATATGTCGTACAGTCGATGGAAGTGGGAAAGGAAGGAGCACCAGGAGCCGAAACGACAACGAGAACATGGCTGGGAAATTATACTTTATGCCGCCAGGACGACACTGGATTGCAGGATGCCGAGCCGAGCAGAAGCAGACGGCATGACACTGATTGCGATATAAACGATTGTCAACGTATCCAAGTGGATTATTACCTCATGCCAATTATCATATCAACGATACACAGGCCCAGGACTCGGGAAACGGCCATGCACACACACACACACTGCAGCACACACACTGGAACACACACAGGCATTGGAGCACACACTCGACAACGCAGGACAAGCCAGGACATGGCACATTGGCTGACAAGTGGCGGGCGGAAAAGGGCCGAGCCGATGAACCCAACCACCCACAATCCACCCACCACCCAAACCACCCACCGCCCACACACTTGACGAGGCGTTGATGGTGTCGGCATCTGGCAGCTCGTCCTTCTGCCACTCCCACATCCCCTCCCCCTCCTCCACCCCCTTTCCCTTCACCTCGCTTTCGTCCTGGCCAAATTGCATGTACAATTTTAAATGGATTTTGATTGTTTATGACAATTCGACGAGCTGACTGGCCAGTCCGCTGCTGGCCACTGATAATACGGCATTTAAATGATGATGACCAGCTCCCACCTGACATCCAGTCCCCCTCCTCTCTGTCCTTTTCCCCATCCTGCAAGTGCCTCCAAATTGGCAGCCACCCCGATGCAATTTGTGAAATTAAGCCCAAGTATTTGCATAGGACATTCACGTCATGGCGTTTATATAGCGAGGGATTTCCGAATCTGCGTGGTTTCAGTGTTGGCTCTTTCCAAAGTGAACACAATTTTACAATTTTCTTCAAACAATTTGATAAAAATAAAAAGTTTTACTCAGTTTAAAATGTATTTTCAGTAGGGTCAATAAATTCAAGTCAGCATTTAATTTATTTTTGAAATATATTTCTTGCGATTTATATGAGTATGAGCACAAAGTATGTATTCTTTTCACTTTTACTTACTATACGTTCTTTCTTTATGATAATAATAAGAACTGTTAAAGGGATGTTAAAGACATTTAATATTTCGGAAACACTTAGCACCATCACTTGATTAATTAACGGTTCTAAAAATATATTCCAAAACGAGCTAAATAATATTTACAGGAACCAAAGGAAGTTGTTGTTATATTGTTGCTTCGAATCTATATAACATTGGTATATAGTTTAAAGCTATTCTTTAGTTTATTTAATCAAAAACATAGTCGCACTGGAAATATAGTCGCTTTGGAAATGAATAAAATTCTGTGGATAGGAGGTCTCAACAAGTCACTTGCCTGCGGGGGCAAGAAGGAGGCGTCCCTCCTGAAACCAGGGGAGAGGATCTGGACCTGTGCGGTCAGGCCAAAGGGGCAGCAACCCAAGAACAGCTCACCACCTCCGAAGATCCGGAGGAGCAGGAAGTTCTACGGGTACAGTCTCGTGCTGGGCAGCCTCTTTAGCTCCGTTCTGTGGGCCGTCTACGAGTTGGGCAAACCTGAGGAGGACCACCGAGGAGCCATCGAGGACGAGTTCAGCCACCTTCCCTGGTTCCAGCAGTACCTAACCAGGATGTGGCACTCGCTGCAGTACTACCAGAAGATGATGGAGGAGCCGCAGATGGTGAAGCTCCTGCCAGACGTCCTGCCCCCTCCCTACATCCAACCGCCGTACTCGCTCGTCCTGGAGATCAAGGATGTGCTGGTGCACCCGGACTGGACCTACCAGACGGGCTGGCGGTTCAAGAAGCGCCCCGGCGTGGACTACTTCCTGCAGCAGTGCAGCCGGAACTTCGAGATCGTGGTCTACACCGCGGAGCAGGGCATGACCGCCTTCCCGCTGCTGGACGCTTTGGATCCCTACGGGTACATCAGCTACCGATTGGTGAGGAGCGCCACGGATCTGGTGGAGGGTCAGCACACCAAGAACCTGGACTACCTCAACCGGGACCTCAGTCGCGTGATAGTGGTGGACTGCGACCCGGACACCACGCCCCTGCATCCGGACAACAGTTTGGTGATGACCAAGTGGCTGGGGAACGACGACGACGTCCAGCTCTTCGACCTCACCGCCTTCCTGCAGCTGGTGGCCGAGCACCAGGTGACCGACGTGCGGGAGGTCCTGCGCTACTACCGCCAGTTCGACGATCCCATCGAGCAGTTCAAGGACAACCAGCGAAGGATGCAGGAGCAGAACCAGGAGAACACCCAGACCTCCGCCTCCGGCGAACGTCAGTGGAGCCTCTCCTTGATGGGTCGCTCCTTTCGGAGCTCTTAGATATTTAGCTTGATCGGGAAGAGTTAAAACATCGAATATGTTATAATAGGTAGCTACCAAATAAATATGTAGTAAAATAGCAAAATTTAAAGTTATCACACACTAGTATGCATTATTATTTTAACGTGCTCCTAATGATACTATTAAGATCTGATTAGTTCCATTAAAAAATTGGGTTTACGGACCTTTAACTTAATAGTTGTACTTCAATAGGTTAAAAAAAATTAAAATGCAAGGGTATAAAAAAAATGATTAGGCCATTAAAGTTATTTACTGAAATATATAAAGTCGTAATCGTTAAAATAAATATGTCAACTTGCGTATTTCTTTTGAAATCTTTAGGAATGTTTAAGGGATTTTTATTGTACTTCAGATCCGTATAAAATCTAAATCGAAAGGTTTTTAATGCCGCGCATTAAAGAAGATGCACTATTATTTTGTCCAGTTTGATTGTTCACCGACACGTCTTTTTAATACTTCATAACCGTAAAAACAACTCTAGTCCTTATTCAAATTGACAACCTTCTGGTGGAATAATCACCTGTAAAGTGCACGTAATTATGAACCCTTTGCAAAGTCGGATAAAATAATAATTATCGAAAGGTGTCATGTAAGCAGGGTTTTTCCGAAGCTGCTACCCACCGATGGGAAAAACCATATTAGACACCGGTGGCACACATGGAAGGTGGCTACGATCACGCCACCGTTTTCGAGGACACTTTGCGATGCAAAAAGGAGGAAATTTATGCGCGGAGAACTTGGAGGGTAATACGAGGAGCCGGAGGTTCTGGGGTTTGTGGGAGTCAGATGGACATCCGGCGGGTGGGAGCCACTTTCGTGCTTGACCTCTCCACAGCGGCCTGCTTAGCCTCTTGACCACCGCCAAGTTTTTCCAGGATGCGATGTGAGAGAGGGGGTCCTTCGGGAAGGAGGAGGAGGAGGAGGAGGAGCGTGTGAGGGCGCCTCTTTGGTGGTGCGTTGCCTTTTTATGGGATCTCCGGCAGCTCCGCCAGCAGCACTTGCAATGAAAGCATTTCCGCATCCGGCAGCGGGGATCCCCGGGAAGAGAAGCCAAGGAGCAGCATGGAGTCCACTTTAATTTTTGTTTTGTTTATAATTTACGCGACACAACATCAATTAAGTGCTTGGCCGGAAAAGCGCATACCTGCAGCTGAAAAAAGCAGTCATAAATTCTCGCCCTAAAGTGTTGGCGAGTGTCGGTGCGACTCCCATCCCGTTCCATGCAGTATAGTGTACTATATATCCGCCACTCCCCGGAGGTTCCAAAAGGGCGATGCGGGATGGGGGACGGGGGATGGGGGCGTGGTCCTCCAGCAGACCAGCTGCAATGTCCTGGGGCATAAATAGCCAACGCCATTTTGGTATGCGCACTTTTTTATGTATCGCACAAATCATTTTATCGAATACACACTGTATGCAGTGGTTGCAACTTATTTAAGCTCACCAAATAGTTCAGAACGGAAAGAGAGATGTAGTAATATTGGAGTGGAATGGCAGGATCCTGTAACAGATAACTAAGAGTCCCGATCTGAAGCGAATCACCTTCCTTTACTTAAAACAATATGTATTATATTTGACAAAGGGAGATGTAGTTCATTTAACTATACACTGAAAATAATAAAAATCTAAATACATACTTAAAATTACATAACTACAAGCAATATAATAGATAGCTTTTACAAGAAAACATTTTTTAATAAAATAATTGTTAACAATACTTATTTTACTATGTACTTTTTAGAATAAAAAGTCAAATTAAATACGCTGTTAAGTGTAACATGGAACAAGCTTCAGATTAATGAGTTTCTGAAAATGTAGGAATATTTCGTTACTGCCAATTTGTTAAAAATATTGTTTCTTTGGACTTAAACTTCAATTAAACTCCCCAACCCTTGGGTCAAAATCAATTTCCAACTAAAACGGCAAAAAATGGCTGCATCGCAACCACAAAGTCATTCAGACAAAGATGCCTAATTGGAATTAACAAAAACAATTTATGGTCGAAGTTGGTGTGATTTGTTGGAGTGACATTACGATGCGGTAAACGAGCAAGGACGAGAATCAGGACGAGAAAGCAGTTCGAGACGGGGGAAAAGCGGGACAAGATGGAAAGGTCCTCGGACAAATTTCTAGGAGAGTGTGTGTGTTTTATTGGGGTTCGGGTGTACGATGGCACTTGCAGACGCCATTTGTTACAACAAAAGAGGTCCAAAGAGTCATTAAACGGCAGTATAAACAAACTCCAGACGGACCCTCAAAGGGTTGGAGTTCTAAGCACAAGAAAGTGTCAACTGTTGGCGAAAATTACAACTCACTTAAAGTTAATTTAGATCTCCCAAAAACACTTTTACCATTAAGCCAAGAATGATGATGTTTCTTGGAATATATAATTAATTTGTTAACATAATCCTTAATTATATTAAAGGCCAATCAGCACAAAGTGTATTGCAAACAGTAAGCTTATATTAATAATTATTAATGTAAACTATAATATAATATATGGGTGTCGAAGAAAGTAACTAAGTAACTAAGTGATTTATAAGATTTATCTTATTCAATACAAGGGATGATTTACATTTAACCGTATCCACTCATTTAGCAAATAGTGCAGTGGCGTTAAATAAATAAAAGTTAACTCTCTTCCGAAGTAAATTTATTTATTAGCCAGACTGCAAGTGCTCCCAATTTTACGCCACCTCCGCCGGATGCGACATTCAAATAATGAAATGAATGTTTTGCTGCACTCATCCATTTATTCACGCACCATAAACTAGGGACGAATTTATTTCAAGGGACACTCGAACGTGCAATAATAAAAATAATAAAATTAATGGGGGCCCAAAGAGACAACGGCAGCCAACAAGTGAGATCGACTTTAGTTCCGAATCGAGGCGGAGCCTCCCTGGCACACCAGTTACAGGTACCGGAATCGTTTGCGAATTAAATATGCATTCCATTTCAAATTGGTTCAAATGGAGGGGGAAGAGGGGGTGGTGGTGTTTCAGGGGGTTTAAAGGTGGGGCAAGGGCACCGCGACCAAAATAATTTCAGCCATTTGCCAGATTTTGAATGCAGCTGGCCCAGCATAGATTTTGGCATTGCCAATGCATTGTAATTTACGCGACAATTGCAATAAACATTAGTTCATTTGTTACGCAATGTACTGCACCCAGGCTCCCACTGTAACTCTCCTGCTCCACCACCACCAGCACCACCACCACCACTAGCAGCACCACTGCTCTTTGCCCCACCAAAGCAGCCACGTTGTTTGTGGGTTTGCGGCTGGCACATTAAATTAATTACTCATGTTATTATTTTGGCCGAAATGAAGTACGCAACAATTTATAATCGCGACTACACGAGATTAGAAGTACCTGCGGTGACCCCCGCCCCTTCTCCACTCCCCCCGCCACGCCCCCTTTCTGGCTGCAGCCATTTCGCTTTATTAGTCAAAATGCTGGCAAAATGTATTTCAAAATCAAAATCCTACAATTTTCCACGAATGCGTCTGTTTGCAATTAACGCTAATTTATGATCGACTAATTTACAAAATGTTGCCTCAAAACGCAGTGTTCTGCTGTTTTAAAACAGAACAATTCCGTAAAGTGGATTTTGGGATGGTAAAACTATTTTTATAATGAACTAATGTAAAGGGTCATGACATTATTTACAGATTCAATTTGAATAAATTAAAGGATACCAAGTTTTATGAGACAAGAATTGGAAAAAAGTTACAAGTTACAATACCCATAAGCAATATGTTATGTTTTTTTACGATTATTTAAATATTTGTTGTAAAATATTTTGAAGGCATTAACGATTATATTACATTGAACTTAGAATAAATCAAAACTTTAGAGATAACCAGTTAACCGAAATGTGACGACGTATTTATTTATTCCGCAGGAACGAATCTAATTAAAGAAACGTATTGTGCGTCCATCTACTAACCAGCTTAAATTTATGGATTTACTAAACAAGCCGGATTAATCCACACACGAACGAAGGAAGCCAACAACTGCATTACATTTAATCCGGGAAGCAACTAAATTCGGCTCGAAATTTATGGCAATTGCTCAAGCAAGGCATTAATTCCATTTAAATGGCCGCCTTGTGAATCAACAGGCGGTTGCAACGAGCAGCACAATCACATCCTAATGCATCCGCCGATGCATCGTGCCCCCGCCCCGTTGCTCCTGCCCCAAAACGTGGCCATCGAGGAAGGATGGCCGCCTCGCAGGATGTGTGCCCCCTTCGCCCGGCTTACTGTTCTCGGCCTAATGTATGATTATGTTCGGAACACAAAGCATACGCCAAGGCGACAAGGACAACGGCAATCGGAGGCGGAGGTGGAGGTGGGGTGAAGGAGGAGATCCTGGGATTGGTCAACGAGGCGTTGCACCACCGCCCCATTTATTTGCATCGCAAAATTTGCACATGTTCAAATCGAGATTTACGACGCCGAGTGACATCATTAATCAAGCGCCTGATTGGTGATCCTGTTCCTGTTAATTAATACAATAATGGATTGCGTGCGGAGACTTTGGCCGGAGCAGCTCCCCTTCGGAGCCGAAGATGCACGATTTACGGCCCGGAAGAAGCCGCAAGGATAATCTAGAAGCCAAGGGGAAAAAAGCTAACCAACCTTCCCCCACTGGCAACATTGATTTTAAATTTACAACGCTCGTGGCAAAGGTTGCTGCAACAGAGCCATATGTTGCATTGATTTATCATTGGCAGTCGGTGTGGCAGCCAAAATGGAAATCTTCTGCAGCTGCTACTAAACCCGGACACCAGATAACTTTTGGCCCAAAACATCAGGACAGCCTTGATGAGGAGGTCGGAACCCACCGCCCACCGCCCACCGCCCACCGCCCAGTAAACTCCCTCTCCTCTCCCACACAAATTTCAATTAACAATTTTACCCTTAATTTGGCCCAGAAGCAACGCAAAAATCAGGTAAAGTCAACAGGGGCGAATAGAGAGAGAGGTTTGGGGTTGGGCTAACAAACTAAATTACAATTTGGTTGGACCAACAAACCCCTCCACCAAAGATTTTGGCCTATGCCCGAGCATCAATT